GTTCACCCTTGAACTGTGTTCTCTGCAGTGAGGTCAGAGACTGGAGTGTTCTGTAAAACATGGTGCATGACATAGAGACAGATAGAAGGCATTCACTCTGATCCATGGAGGTAATTTGCTCTCAATTTAATATTTCTACCGTTAGACTCTGGAAAGAGTCTGGAAAGGCCCCCTCCTCCTCTAATCTTGATCCTACTCTAGGCTTCCCCAGGCTAAAGTCCCTCCCCATGGGGAGGGGTTGATAGGGGCTAGAGAGATATATCTGCCTAGGGACTGTGCCCTCCCAACCCCATCCCCCTACCTCCTTCCTAGACTATGCCTTAAGTAGCGGGGGCCTACAATTCCCTGCCCAAAGAACCCTTGTGCCTGCTTCCAGGGACTGCGAGGGCCTTTTTCTTAGATCCACCTCCGGAAGGTGGGGCCCAATGTGTATGTATCCCTAGGCAGGAGGAGTGTCAGGGGACATTTCTGTTTGCAGAGCTTGGACGTTCAGGCTGTGGGCAGAGCTTGGACGTTCAGGCTGGCGTGTCCATGTCTGTGTGTATGGGACCCCTCATAGTGTGGGGCAGAGCTGGGGATGAGTGAGAGGAGAGGTGGGCTGTGCGCTGAGCAAGCGTCCCTCGTGATGCCCTGTTCCCGCATGGAGCTCTGAAGAATCCAAGAATTATAAATTTAGGTCTGACCTTTCAGATCATCATGAAGAGATATTTCATAAAGGGTGTTAGTCTATGTTTTATTTATTCTGTTTGTTAGCTTGATTCATAGCTGTTAAATATTCAGATATATGATATGTGAGCCTCCATTTGTATTCTTGCCCCAGGACCCACAGATGTTAGGGTTGTGCCTAGAATTTGGGTCCTATTCTGGCTCAGAGCTCATCTCCAAACCAACTTCTGCGGCAAGAGATGCATAACCTGTGCTATTAGCCTTAATGCCTGTCTGTGACTGTGGACCGTCAGGCTACACACCAGAGTCACCTGAGGCCCTGCGTGAGACCATCCAAAATATTACTTCCTCGCTGGCTTCCCTGACTCCAGATTCTCTTTGCACTAGTCTCTATAATCAGAGGGATTCTTTCAAGGCAATCCATCTGACCATGCTGTTGTTCTGCTTCGATATCTTCCTTTGCTCCTCACTGCCCAGGGCTGGGCATTCGAGGCCTTCACATGATGGACCAGCTTATCTCCCATGGCTGCTACTCACAGACTTTCTCTTCAGCGACACCAACCCTCCTCACCACCCTCTCCTGTCCCTTCGTTGCCTTTGTTCATGGCTCCCCTCCACACCTTGTCCCCATCACCAGGCTCATCTCTGTGATGAACGCCTCTTCACCCTTCAAAGCCCAGTTGATGCCCATACCCATGAAAGCCTTCACATAGCTCTGTCTTACTATTTCTTAAAATAATAATAATAGTTCTCATTGACACCTTATGTATCAAGGCACTATGGGTACTGTTTATAGGTCTGAAATCATTCCATTCTTACAACCACCCTCTTATTACCCCTATCTTATTGATGAGGAAACTGAGATCTAGAGAGGTGATATAATCAGCCAAGGTCCACACATTAAAATAGAACAAGGATTCTAACCGAGTTCTGATTGGCTTCACAAAGTGTCACTCTTACGAAGGTATGG